TGCTAATGGTCTAGGTCCAATACATCGAATCTATGGAATAATGGACCGTTTCATGTATAAAAATATCCTGAAAGATGTTATGTTACCTCATGCTGAATGGAATATACCAATAAAATGGGTTTTTCAGCAAGACAACGATCCCAAACACACTGCAAAAGTAGTCAAGCAGTGGTTTCAAGACAGCCATCTATTGGTGATGGATTGGCCGCCTCAATCTCTGGATCTCAACCCTATCGAGAACCTGTGGGAGATTGTCAACTGCAGAGTTAATCATGAATGTGTTCGTAATAAGGATCAAGTGTTTGAACAAATCCAAAAGGCCTAGGCAGCAATTCCACAAAGTTTCATTGATCACCTGATCGAATCTATGCCTTAAAGATACAAGGCTGTGATCGACAACAAAGGATTCACCACAAAATATTGATATGAATACAGCTTGGTCAACATTTTGTGAAGTTGCACTTGTTTTGTCCAGAAGGAAATCAACTTTTTTTAATACTTTTGAATAATTTATTAATTTTCGTGTACAAATAATAAACTTTGTGATAAATAAAATTTGAAGAACGTTGTCTCTAAACAGTTACATAGTTATTTCTCTAAATTGAAAAAATACAGCACTTTTATACAAAGAAACTAAATTAGCATCATTTGGTTGCACTGGTTTTGTCTGATACTGTATATGTGTGTGTATATATATATATATATATATATATATATATATATATATATATATATATATATATATATATATATATATATATATATATATATATATATATATATATATATATATATATACATATACATATACTAAAATAAATATATATTTATATATATATATATATATATGTATATATATATATATATATATATATATATATATAAATATATATATATATATATATATATATATATATATATATATATATATATATATATAAATATATATATATATATATATATATATAAAATATATATATATATATATATATATATATATATATATAAAATATATAAATATATATATATATATATATATATATATATATATATATATATATATATATATATATATATATATATGTATATACACACACACAGTCACGGACAAAATTAAGTAACATTGTTGATAAAATTAATACTCTAACAATACAAACAAAATTATTTACGTCAAGATCTACATAACTGCAATAATTTTGTTTTTTTTTAAATTTGATTCCTAAGAAAAATAAATACATTTAAAACTTTTTATAATTCCTTGCAAAAGTTAATCTATTAAACAAAATTAGCTATCTCACAATTTTTTTTTTCAAAAATAAATGTGACAAAAGTAAGAAACATTTGAGTTTTTATTATGAAATATAATGTTTTGTCAATAGCTATTTATTAAAAATGATTATTATTAAAGAGATTTTGTTAAATTTATTAAAAATAAGCATTTTAAACTTTATTTTTTTGGAATTTATTTTTAGAAAAAGTAAAACTAACAATAATAATGGTTCATCATCAAAATTATTCATTGGACATCCGATCTCAAGTCATTTGTGATCGAAAAAAGGGCCTAACCTACAAGCAATGTGCAGAAAAATATCAAATATCGATAAGTGGTGTTAGAAAGATGTGTATAAAATTTGAAACAACTGATTCTGTTGAAAATCAGAAAAGATTTGGTCGCCCCCCTAAGACTTCAACAAGAACTGATATGCTAATTGCGCAAATAGCAAAACAAAATTCAACAATAACCTCAAGACAGATTGTTGAGAATCTTAAATTAAATGTTTCCAGTCGAACTGTACAGAGAAGACTTAATTCAAGTGGTTTAATAAACCGTCTTCAAAAAAGTAAACCCCTCATTAGTGGTATAAACAAAAAAAAAACGCTTAGCATTTGCAAAACTGCATATTAACAAGGATGAGGCATTTTGGAACTCAGTGTTATGGTCTGATGAGAGTAAATTTCAAATATTTGGCTTTAAAAAACGACAAAGAGTTTGGCGCAGACCTTGTGATGCACTCTTAGATAGAAATCTTAGAAAAACTGTCAAGCATGGAAGTGGCTCAATTATGGTTTGGGGATGCTTTGCTTCAAATGGTGTGGGAAGACTGGTGAATGTTGAAGGTATAATGACAGGACAATTGTATGTTGATTTGCTTTCCAAACATTTATGTCAATCCGCTAAAAAATTGAATTTAGATCGCAAGTTCTTTTTTCAACAAGACAATGACCCCAAACACACCAGCAAAGTGGCACAACATTTCCTCAAAAAAAGTTAAGTTAACATCTTTAAATGGCCACCACAAAGCCCGGACCTTTACCCCATTGAAAATTTATGGGCAATTTTAAAATCTAAAATACCTCCTTCAAAACGAACAAATAAAAAAGAATTTTTTCAGGTTTTTAGTGAAACTTGGAATTCAATTGGTACTGACGTCACGTCAAAGCTTGTAAAAAGCATGCCAAGACGTTTAGAAGCAGTCGTGAAAGCAAAAGGTGGTGCAACAAAGTACTAAAATTAAAATCAGACATGATATTCTTGTATTTTTAATATATATTACTGACAAAACATTATATTTCATAATAAAAACTCATAATAAAAAAAGATGTTTCTTACTTATGTCGCATTTATTTTGGACAAAAAAGTTGAATTCTGAATCTATTTTTATTTCATAAAAATAGATTCAGAATTCTACATGTCTTTTAAAGTCATTTAAATGTCATTAATGTATATATTTTAGATATCGGCGGCGTGGAAGAAAATGTTGACGGCAATGCAGAAATATAGTTTCTTATGTATATTTTTGTGAAATAAAAATTAAGTAATGTTAGTTAAAATGTTTCAATACTTATTTAATTTAATCCTTTTTTATGACTAATTTAACCGCTGTAACACCTTTGTATCAAACAAGTCCCAGCAAAGAAAGAGATATCTAAAATGCATCTAATATGCATCTAAAAACTGGTCTAAAAGACGTCTAAATTCACGTCATGAACGGGACATAAATAGATGTCTATCTTAAATATGTCTTTTAGATGCATTTTATTCGACACAAATAAATGCCTTAGACGCATAAAAGATGTGAAATATACATTTAAAGATGTATATTAGATGTATATTAGATGCATAAAAGAGCTATTATTAACTAAAAAATTATCTATTATCTATTTTTTTTAAACGCGCCTTAGACATCTATTTAAGAGACGTATTTTATACATCTAATATGCATCTGTAAGATGTATATTTCACATCTTTTATGCATCTAAGGCAATTATTTGTGTCGAATAAAATGCATCTAAAAGACGTCTATAAGATAGACGTCTATTTATGTCCTGTTCTAGACCTGAATTTAGACATCTTTTAGATCAGTTTATAGATGCATATTAGATGCATTTTAGATATCTTTTTGTTTGCTGGGTGAGAACTGTCACAGTAAAAGGATAAGACTTGAATGATGAGTAACACAGGAATGAATTTTAGTAGAGCAGCGCTCATGAGAGTATTTACAGAAAAAAGAAATAGAAGCTTTATAAGGAGGATGTGACAATGGTTGAATGTTGGCTGCAAGAGCAACTATGTTTACAATGTGTTTTTTTACCTCATCTAAAAGATGAGTATCATTTGAAGATCTGCTTCGATCTGATTTATAAAAATAAAGAATAGAATCTGGTGTAAGAAATCTGAGAGCACAATAAAGAGATGCAACCTTAGCAGATGCTACTTTTTTGATCTTTCTTAAAAACCATATATCATATTTGATATATGGTTTCTAAAAACTGAGTAGATACTTGTTATAGTCTTTTGCAAGGCTACAACAGGTATGTTGTCGGGACCACAAGCTTCAGAAAAGTCTAAGCATTAAATCACTGTAGATATAGAGTGATACAAATGTCAAGCAATGGATCAATCTATTTGTTAGTTATATCAGGTAGAATGCGATTTGTGGAGATGAGATTGATACAAAATTCTTAGCAAACAATTGGGAAACAAAATTAGAACCATGCAAGAGAAGTAGAATAACATATTTGTTCTTATTAAAAACAAGGTTAAATATTCTCTAATTCAATTAAAGTTTCTTGAGCCTAATATTTGAAATAAAGTACAAGATTTAGTGACTTGAGAATAGAAGCATTAGAAAATATTTTTTACCACAGTTTCTAGTAATAGTAGATAGATGGACATTTTTTATTACATGTAGGATAAACAAATGGACATTTTGTAGAATAAACAAATGGACTTTTTTTATTACATGTAGGATAAACAATCAAAAATTAAAGCCCATGGACTATCTATTATTTTAATTATTTATAAATTGCTATGCAATTATTTATAAAATTATTTCAGGTCACAATACAAAGTAAGGAATTAATTTATCAATTATTTGGTTTCAATAATTATTGCAAATATAAAATATTCCATATCTAATTATAAATGTTAAACGATAAAAAAACTTTAATAAATTGATAACTGATATAATGTTTCATTGTGGCTGGCTATTGAAATAAAAACTTATTTGTGGTTAACCACTTGTGCAAAGTTGTGATGATGCTTCTTTTATAAATTATAACCGACTTGGTAAATTCACTTAACTTAGATAAACATAACAACAATAAAACAAGCTAACATATAAAAATGCAACTTAATGAAGTTAAACAAGTATTTAATGGTGATTAGTTAACATAGAAATAGTTACTTATTAAAAAATTACTTAATTTTAAATTTTACAGAAGTTACAAAGAAGAAAAATTTATTATTTTATTTTGAAAGAATATAAAAAAAAGTTAGATGTATGTTATTCGAACAGCGCGTAAAAAAATACATAAAAAAGAAATTTCTAAAATTAATCTTTTAATAAGATTTTTATACAAATAACATACTTTTAAAAAATAAATTAAATGAATAATTATAATAAATATAATTAAAAAAATATAATAAAAAATAATAATAAAAAAATAGAATAATGTTAATGATCAGTAAATTTAGATAAACCAAATATTAAAGTTAC